CCCCAAAACCCCAAAACCCCAAAACCCCAAAACCCCATGCTTCAAAATAAAATATAATAGGTGAATTTTGATTAAAAATTAAAGATAAGAGTAGTTGTTAAATTTAAAATATAAATTTGTCAAAGATGTCAAGCACAAAATTTAGTGTGAATAATCCTGTCTCTTGCCATAAGTTCCTGAGTCTCCCATAGCTGTAAAGTCAACTTAATAGCTAAAATTAGAGTAATAAGTAATTTGAATAAGTAAGTTGAAAATATATAATTGCAGTGATGTCTTCATACTTATTACTAGTTTCTGAGGAGAAGTTTGGAGCTTCAGGAAATGCTGACTATAAAGCAAGATGGCTTTAGTGGAAAATAACAGATCCCCAAAATATCGAAATAAGCAAGGGTAAGCTCATCTAAATATTAATTAAATTATATTTTTAGTCATTTAAAGAAGTCGCTGAGATACTTTTGTTTTAAGTAGACTATCTCCTCAATTAGTAGCCAGGAAATCCTGCTTCTTCAGGTGGAAATGATGATTGCCAATCTTACAGGACAGCTATTGAGGAGGAAGTGAGTTAAAATTACTACAAAACAATGTCAGAAAAGAGTCTCCGATTAAATCACCTGAATCAGTCTGAAAATGAAGCAAATCAAAGCATCAATGATATTCTCAAAGAAAAGAACAACATCATAGATATATTAAAACAAGAAAAGCAATACTACAAAGATTAGTTATCTAATCAAAATAAGTTTAATAACACTTAAAAATAGACAAGCAGTAATAATAGCAATATTGATGAGCAAATTAACTGCTAAATGGTTGAAAGATTGAGAAAGTAAATTGAAGATGAATTCCAGCAAACAATCAAAAGGTAATAAGAAATTATAGAACAGCAAGTTGGCTATATTCAATCTTACGATAATAAACTAATTGAAGCTCAGGAGGAAATCGACTCCTTGAAGGACAAAATGGGGCAAATGATTAAAGAATAAGAGAAACTGCTAAATTAAACTTAAAAAAGTCCCACTAAAAATGACACAATGCACTAAGACATTGCTTAGATCTAAATGATTGAGCAGCTAGTCAAAGATAAAAATAGACTTACGCTAGAAATTCTATAGCTAAAAGAGAACAACCAAGCTTTCAAGGAAATGACGGGATCTCCGAAAGCTGGTAATAGTCAATCGAGAATACCTCACCATATAGAACTGTCTATTAATGAGATATATAATACAATAAAAGATTAAAACTCTATCAACTAGTTTGGTAGCAATAGTAGTAGTGAGGATAAACTATAAACTATATAATATTTTGTTGAAAATTAACAATAACAAACAAATATGAAGCATAATAACGGCTACCTGCTAAATGATCATAAAAGATAGATTCGCAGCATATCAGAGTCATCAAAATTCCATAGCTATATCAATGTGATAAATCTAGAGCAAATCTATAGAGACTTTTTCTAAAGCAATCATCCATCCTCTATTGAAAATAAAAATAGATTGTTTAAGGACTTATATAATATAATAGAGGACTCGACTTTCAAATTCTATGAGCTTTTCACTCAAAGTTTAGCTACTCAAGCTAAAAATGATAAATTAGAATAAACTTTCTCAGAATTGGATATAGTCTTTAATCACGCTGAAAATAATGATAAGGTAGTGCTGGATGAATTAAGAAGATTGAGTAATCATACTCTTTAGTAGATATTTGACTTATAAAAGGAACTCACTTAGTATAGAGCTCTAGACGGTATGTCATCATAATTGGTGAAACTACTTAAAAAGTCTGCTGAGAAAAACAGCAAACGCCATACTGCAGGAGGTATCTTATCTCTTGAGGAATAAGTTATGGAACTTAACAGCAAGCTAAAAGAACAAGATAAGCAACTAAGATAAAAAGAGAAAAAAGTGCTCAAAAAGCCTTCTGCTATTGGACTTAGAAAATCAGTGAAGGAACAATCATAGATTGGAGATGATGAGTTAAATAACACCCAAAAGCTTTTTATTAAATCTGGTGATCAATTAAAGCAAGATTATCTTAATTTAGAAGTTTAGTACTAAGATGTCTGCTAAAATTTAAACAAAGCACTTGACAAGATATATGAATAGGATGAGATGCTTCAAGTAATTGAAAAAGAATAAACCTTGTAAAAATTGGAGTACAATCAGTTAAAGCAAGAATACGATAGAAATAGGAACGAAAAGTCGATCTCTTAATCATCTTATGGTGAGCTTTAACTCTAATATGATCGATTAATGGAGGATAAGCATATCTATGAAGAGAACTTGAAGAAACTTAATGACTAGATTCAAGAAATAATGGTAGTGATCGAGGAATACTAGGATAAGATAGAAAAATTGGAGTAGGAAAACGAGTAATACTAAGATAAGGCAAACAAAGTAGGTAAAATCAATGAAGAATTGAGGGGACTAGTGGATTAAGAGAGAAATTCATATCAAAACGAGAAGCAAAAGAATGAGGATACTATTCAAAATTTAATCTCAACCTAGGATAGTAAAATGAAGCTAATTAAAAATAAACTCATGAACTTTATTCAAGCAGAGCTCAGAAGTGAAGAGTTCAAGAATTCGATTTGCGGTGAATCAATGACTTTTGATGAAATACTTACTAAAATAAGCGAATTATTGCAGTTTTATAGAGATAAGATAAATAATACAGTAGATGGAGGGTTCTTGAATAATACGGCATTTTAGATGTTTAATAATACAAATACCAAAAGTAGAGATATTAGTCCAATAAAACCAGTTCTTGATAGATCCGGTTTTGTTGCTTAAAGCAATGATGCAGCTGAGGTATTAAATGTTTCATCTAAAAATGTTACCAGCAATTTTCCTTAGAATCTTAGAAGTCGTGAAACTTCTTTAGAAAATAAAAATTCAAGATATAATGATTATTAAAATTCTGCAAACAGAACCCCAGCGAGATACTCTAAGCCATAAAACTTCTACGAGAATCTTAATTCAGTAACATAAGGAAAGATAATTGGAGGAAGAAATGAGAACTCTAAGTTAGCGTTAGAACAAAATTACAACACAGACTAGATATAGGACTATGCCACTAGATTCATTCAAGAAAAGGAAGCTCAACGAGAAATGTCAAATCCAAGATTATAAAATTACATGTAAAATCATCACTAATAGGATTATATTCCCTCAACCTCAGTTCATAGCACCCAAAACAGTAACATGAATAGCTTGAGTAAAAATCATTACAATTATACCTAATAAGGTAAAAACTCGCAGAGTAATGGGAATAGATCTATTCCTCACACCCTAACTCCAAGCAAACTTCATACAATCAGAACAATCAATCAAACTCAGAATTACAAAAAAGCTAACTATAGTGAGAATCCAACACCAAATCAAGCCTAAAAGCTCTAATCTTAAAATAACCATAGCAACTTTAATAATACTTAACCTTTTACTTTGAATAGAGATAGCTAATCAAACTACAGATCTACTATTAATCAAACTCAGATTAGATCTCCAGAAAAGGATGGATTTAGACTTAATATGCAAAAATCAGAGATAATCCCATAGCCAGAGTCTAGCTCAAAGCGTGAGGATAATATAGAGAGGAAAAAGTCAATCAATGACATTCTAAGTAACTTCAAAAAGGAGAAAGAACACTTTAACGAGAAATTGTCAATGTTGAAGTCAAAACTAGAATAAGTAAGGTCTCCAGAGCCAAATAACCTAAATAGCATATAACATAAGTAAGTCTTTTATAATGCTAAAATTTTAAATAGACAAGCTAATAATCTATTTGTAAATAATCAATGTGTTGAAAACAGCTATGGGGTAGCGAGACAAGAAAGTTAAACCATTGAAAATAGAAGATCTAAGACAGCAGAAAGATACATGCAATTCAAATGATCGCAATAGTTTTAAAAATAATTTTAATTTTTGTACAATAACTAAATAATCTCTTACATAGGCTTTAAATTAATTCTGGTGTTGGGGTTTTGGGGTTTTGGGGTTTAACTTTC